ATTCGATACAACTTTTTCAGGCATCCTATACAGATGGAGCGTCCGGCGCATTTTGAACGACTCCGATCCGGGTTTTCATCCTAGTTCCGAATCGGTTTCATCAAATCCCATGATACTGGGGGAAGAGGACAAAATCTTGCATCTTCTTGATGTAAGCATAGTTGCATTAGTTGTAGGGAATTAGCTTCTCGCGAACGTTCTTTTCGAAAAATTAAAGAAAACATTAATCAGGTCTTGCCTTAGCAGCATGACATTCATTGAAACTGTCGATAAACGAAATAAAATGCTTGGTCGTCATCATTTCGGACTGATCCCAAGCACATTTATACTGTTGCTAGGTTGATTTCTTAGCAAGCGGCGCGAATTTATTGCCCAGCGAGCGGTACCCGCTCGTAACCTACCAGTCAACTACAAGCCAAGAAATCCATGATTCAGGCAATCATCACTACCAAAGATGAGTTACTGTTGCATATTGGAACGTTCATTACTTGTCTGGGGAAGGTAAGTTAGATTATGTCTGCCGTGCGGCCCGTCGTTTCATGTGATGTACTGGAGGTCACGGAAGCTCTCCTACCGAGGAAGGGGGCGCTGATCACACCAGTGTTCTGTGAAGTTCATGTTGATTTAGAGTCCACTGAATAGTATCACAGTATTGGAAATTGTTATTCTTTGACGGACGAATAAGTTTTTGCCGTTTGCTGTATTCTGTGCGCTCACATTTCCTCTGTTTGCAGGTTCAGGCAGGCCAGTATCTAGTGCAACTGAACACATTCACTCCTGATGGCGACGCGCGGGCAGAGCTCCTGTTTACTGCACGGCGTTCCAGTAATTGCATTAGAAATGATAGCCTTTACCTTCTTTTACATCTGATTATTCTCAGATTGCGACCAGCTCTGTTCCGGACATAGTGCTTGCGATCAATTTACGGGACTTTGTCGGTGTGACAAGTACTGGATGCCGAACCTGGTTGCATTCTACTTCGATGGTAAACTGAACTGCGGTAAGTTAGCTTCCTCAACGCGAGGTCCGTTAGCTAATGTGAGGTTTCAGATTGGAGTGTACTGTTTATGCTGGTGCCTTTCTCTGTCGGATTCATCTCCTGTCTATGCGTTTGGCTGCTCATCGGGACCTTGCTACGCCTGTTGTGCGATTCGCCCCGCAAAAAGTGTTGCGCCGCTTTTTTATCCGTCCTCTGCGACAGTACCAGTTACTTCAAGATAAGGAAAGGCAAGTCGATTTTTCTACTTCTTTGGTTGAATTGAAGTTGCTCTCCTCTTATGTCATTTCAACTGGAGATCCCTTATGAAACTTTTGGACAAAAGTCTACACAAAATCGATTACGCATTGATCGTTTCATTCGGTTTCCCTAAATAAATTGAGTTCTTTGTGTGTACAGTAAATGTACCTTCACCATTAACTGTTTGCTCCAGTTTTTAGACGGTGTTTTTTTAGACGGGTGTTTCACCACGTCGAAAGTTCTTATATTAGAGGAAAATAAGCCGTTAGCCCTCAGGGGAATTCCACACTAGTTACAGTCAGTGACCGCTTATTCTTTCGAGTCGCAGAGGCAGATGCGTCAGACATCGTTCTGCAAGGTTCCCGATCCATTGTTAACGTTTGAGCTTCGGCACAACTTTACCAGACTCGGAAACTGAGTCTTTCGAGATGCTAGACCCAAGTTATTTTTGGTTCGATCGGTTGGTGAAGTAGCAGCTGCTTCGCTTTCTTTTCTAGAAGCATTCTCAAGACGTGTCCAAACCATCTCAGCTGACTTTTCAGCTTGGTGAAGCAGCGACTGTTCACCAAGGCGCTTTCTGATATCAGTAGTTCTGACCATTATTAGACGCGTGAGCCCAGCGATTTGTCTCAGAAAGTCCATTTCAGCCGTTTGTACCTGGGATTGAAATTTTTTAGTCATTCTTCTCTATGCATGACTGCACGTGAGCATCGGGATGAAGGTAGACTTGAATACAATGAGTCCATTCTTCACATTCAGCTCTGCTTTGGTCACAGTGGTTCGGGCTAGTTCACGCAGAACGAAGCAGGCTGCTCCAGTATTTCAATCCATTTCTTCCATCCATATTCCACCACCAGTGAATATTAACCGGAAGTGCGTCAGTTTCTTCACGCTTCACTGCTTCTCCATTAATCTTCAGAGTGCCGCGGCCAGGCGGACGAAGAATTATTCGGTTTTTAGACACGTTCACACGCAGGCCTGGCCACGTCGCGCCTGGCTAACAACCCCAGCGAGCGCTGCAGTTCAGTTTCAGAATATATCAACAAAACAAGATCGTCTGCAAACGGCAAACTTCTCGTCTCCAAATCTCCTACGCTGAGAGACTCGTTGCCCTGAAGGCACCTGACTATTCTATTAATGTACAACTCAAACGGAAGATGGGAAAGATGCATCCTTGGTGGAGACCAATGCTAAGAAGGAATGGTTTTGACTTAGTGCCATTTACTCTCACGCAGCAATTGGCCGTCGATCCAGTGTGCTTTCATTTAAGCCCATAGGTTCTTGCGCGGCATCCGGACATAGCCTTTCTTCAGGTACACAAAACAAATATAAATCGAATGAACCGAACAAACTCACGATTTCTCAACAGTCTGGCATAAGGCGAAGATATGGTCAGAAGTGTTTCACTGCTACACTGATGCTACACCGCTCTTCTTTGATCACAGAGTCAGTTATTCCGTGGCACTTTATTTCTAACACCTTTGCCTAGACTTTAACAGGGAGGCTCAATAAAGTAATTCCTCGGTAATCCAAGCACTCTCTGTGGTCTCCCTTCTTGAACAGGGATACTGCAGCCGCTATTCTCCAGTCCACCGGTATCTTTCCCGTAGCCATTGGAGTTTAACCGACTCATGTCTACCACAATATGCATTGTCTGCCTCATGTTTTAAGCATCTCAGATCGGATCTCATCGAATCGAGCTGCCTTACCGCTTTTAAAGCCTTTTACAGATTCAGTAATTCATTTGCTGAAAGAGTGTTATCCGTGCCTGCTACTGTTCAGACCAGTCTTCCTGCGGTTATGCGTGGTTAAAAAGTTCCTCTAAGGCAGCAGCATGTGTCCATCTTTTATAAGGTGTCGGGACTTATCCTTCAGAACTTATCAAATTCAAGTCCAGTGCCTCAATAAGCTTTTCCCAGAAGTCAGCTTTCACTTTGGCCACTGTTTTCGCTGCTGCTTTGCGTGTTTCGTCGTACTTCATTCGAGATGAAGGATCTTTGCTTCCACACCATCTCTTGAATGCAGTCATTTTCTCGCTGGCAGCTAGTTAGACCTTTCGTGGCAATTCGTTTCTTACCCGCCGGCGGTAGGCTAATAGATTTTGTCCCGCAACATTCGTCGGCAGCTCCGAGTGTGTTGTGTCTTAAATAGCCTCGAGTCCGCTTCGATGTCAGTCGTCATCACTGGGATCTGTTCAAATCTTGTTCCAGTGTTATTTGCAAATTTTGCCCTCGTATCCGCAGATAGTGTTTCCCATTTGATTCTCTGGTTGTTTCTGCCGTTAGATCTTCGCATGGTCCTCTATCTTTCACAGCTTGGCGTGCTGACAACAAGGTGATTATCAGTTGACAATTCTGTGCCTTTTTAATGCGAACATCCATTACAGAAAGTCGTACGTCAGGCGATACGACTATTAAATCGACTTTTGTACCTAAGCTTCCCTAGGTATACTGGTGCACGCTTCGATGCTCGAAGGTGTTCATGACAGACAGCCCTTTGTTTGTAACAGAACCGCAAAACCTTCGTGCCGTTATTTTTGAGGTCTTTAGGGCCGTTCTTTCTAAACACGCGTTTCTGCTTTTCAGTCTCTGCTACAGATTAAAATCGCCCATTAGAATGACGGACTTCGTAGTCAGCTCTCCGTACAGACCGTACTCCATTTCCTCAAGGAAGGACTCATATTCCCTCTGAATTGGGCGCATAAACCTGTAAAAAGGTCAAAGCTTTAGTCTGTTATAGCTTCAGTCAGAAAATTGTCGCTCCTCCGCAGACAGGTTTCCGTTCAACGAATCTGTCAGCCAGGTTGGATTCTACCAGATGACCAACACGGTTCTTAATTCCTGTCATAATATCGACATCTGAGTAGAATGGCTTCCGCTCGCAGAGGTTTAGAATTTCGTAGACCTGGCGCTTCATTGACGGGAGTTCACCTATCTTCAATCAGTATGTTGGGGCCTAATCATTTGGCTTCTGCTCATTGCCTCTGAGTGGGAATATATTCCACTTTCTGACTGTGAGACTTCACTATGAATATAGATCCCGTTTTGGCTTGTCTGACGTGCTATAATGACATCGCGCTGCATGCCTGCTCTGTTCAGAACGGGTAAAGGTTCCGTTGCTGATTTGGTTCTTTCATCTTGTCGATCTTCGACAGCAGTCGTCGTGCTTCTACGTCCCCATCTACCAGAAAACATGAATCAGGTTTTGGTGGTCGCGTTTTCGCAGCCTCCCTTGATTCCCCAATATCCTGCGTGGTTGTTGGTTGTTCGGGCGACGATCGAGTCGGTATTACGTTCGATAACAACAGTATGATGAGTGAAAGGTTGCTGTGTTTTACGCGAGACCGCGTCACGATTTGCAATCCTGCTCCTTTCTCATCTTGGCTTGGAACCTGCCATGGCGAATTTGTTTGCTCTCCTTAGCGTGATAAATGTCCAACATGCTACTCATCGCTAATGTAAGGCAAGCGGAACTGTTAAGCCTGCTGCATCCAAGATGATTCTGAAAGACGGCAGTAGTAACTGTGGTTAGCATTATGGCACAATTATGTGTATTGCAATTAACTTATAATTGCTCCCAACCGAGTTTCACGGCCTATTGCATTTGCCCTTCCCTGTACATAAGTGCCTGTTGAAACATTTTAGGAATTGACTATCCCGTGGTATTTGAACACCTGCATTGTGTTGATTTATCTTGTATGACTTTACGACCTACAGTTGAAACTGTTTTGCATATATGCTGTTCATCTCGTCAGATGCTTTCAGACTAGAATAAAAACGTATGTTCGAAGGGAAGTTTGTTAAGATGTGCGTAGCTGTTCATAACCGAGTTTCACGATTTCAGGCGCCCCTTCTGGCTGTGTAGGACGAATCGATACATATGTGTAGCTAGTGCTTATGAGCTATGAAACTTTATATCGAGGCTTTCTGAGTGTCACCATAAATATTTTGGTTTACTTTATAAACGGTTTGGTAAGTGCTCGCTTAATTTTCTGACAGTTGGATCTTGCAATACTGTTTCGTTAATATCCCATGTAGTTGGAAATCCTTTTTTTTGGATTTTAGATAATGTTGCTCTTGTTGCATTCGTTGCCTTTATTGACATTAAATAGAAAGGGTCTGCTAAACAGCAATGTATTCAGTAACTTAGTGGCCCAATAATAGCTCAGCCAAGTAAGTTCATTTCTGTAGGGAACAGGTATAAACTAAATCGCTAGGTAAAAATTTATTGACATTATTTACCACTCGCACTGCATTGTAATATCTGGAAACAAGTGCTGTTAAATTTTGTTGATATTCTAAAATTCATCGTGACTCTCAACGCCATTTTTCCTTATGGAGTACAGTGTTTCGACTAAACAATTTTATTCCTTTTCTGCTATTAAACTTTTAGGCCAAAGTTGTTTAGTCTAAACGTTGTACTCTGTCAGTCAGTTTCAATGACGGTTTATTTTATCGGATCGTTTAGTTTGCTAATTCCGCCATCGTAGCTGCAGAACATATTTTTCCCATTTGAATTTCTTGTTCCTTCCGATTCTGAGTCTTCTCATAGTAATCCATCATTTGCGGCGGTTGGAGAGTGTGAATAGCAAGAGAGTGGCCAGTTGACAGCTCTACATGTCTCTTTACCTGAGCATCAGTTATGGAGCGTCGCAATCGGAGGATATGATTGTCACATCGTTCATCGACTGCTGTACACACGCTTCTCTATACTAAGTTTACTTATTACTCACGTTTTTATCCTTGGAAAAGATGCTCATAGCA